TCAGAAATAAGAGTTGCTTTATTTTGTTCAATCCAACATTTCCCAAGCTTATTCAATCCCAACACATTTTTCTTTTCAATAATGCCTATACCTTGAGAAATACTGATGTAGGTGAAAAATAGAAAACAAGATCAAAAGATGGTTGGAAACCATAAATGCTCCCAAATCATAAGGATAGATCAAATAAATAGTATGTTCTTAAAGACATAAGAAGTCATCTTATAGGTCAGGTATGAGCAGTTTTAAGCAGGGGAATGATATAAAATGTTCTATTTTAGAATGAATACTTTGGCTAATATAAGAAAGATACATTGGGCTGGAAGATGATGTAAACAGTGGAGGGTGGGGTTGTAGGGGGATACAGAGGTGCGAAAATGAAGCAACAGAGTTAAATTAAGAGAAAAGATTCAGGAAAGCTTCACAAAGGAAAAATCCTCCCTCACTGACTAAGAAATCTGTCTTGCTCAGGGAGCTTACTCTTCTCTCATAAATGTATTAGGGAAAAACAGAAGCTTCCTGTTTTTAGGATAATCCAGTCCAGTTGTCTAGGAAGGACAACAGACAATACTACCTTCTGGGAACAGGTATGCAGGGGGACTCTGCAGGAGACACAGGCAGCAATGAGAGGCTGAAGTGGTGGACTGCACAAAGAATTTAGGTCAAGACAGTCTTACCTCCTATTCATCTGTACAGAAGATCTGCCCCCTGTATGCCAGGAAATATTCTGTTGTCTCCTTTGCTAAACCCTCAAGTCTTCTAGGACAAACCTAGACAGCATATAGTCTAAAAAGGTCCATATAGTCAAAGCTGTGGTTTTTCTAATAGTCATGTATGGATGTGAGAGTTGGACCATAAAGAAACCCGAGCCCCAAAGATTTGATGCTTTTGAACTGTGGTGCTAGAGAAGACTCTTCAGAGTCCCTCGGACAGCAAGGAGATCAAACCAATCAATCTTGAAGGAAATCAACCCTGAATATTCATTGGAAGGACTGGTGCTGAAGCTGAAGCTCCAATATTTTGGCCATCTGATGCAAAGAGTTGATTCAATGGAAAAGACTCTAATGCTGGGAAAGACTGAGGGCAAGAGGAAAAGGGGGGTGACAGAGGATAAGAAGGTTGGATAGCATCACTGACTCAATGGACATGAGTCTATGCAAACTGAGGGAGATAGTGAAGGACAAGGAAGCCTGGAGTGCTGCAGTTCATGGAGTTGCAAAGAGTTGGACATGACTTAGTGACAGAAGAACAACAACAACAATCTTCTAGAGATTCTGAAAGGGTTTAAAGACAGGGCACTTGAGAGGAAAACATTACATGTTTACATGATTTGGAGATTTCTGAAAAGACTGTGCTTAAGTAGAGACTCTAAAGGGTAGCAGATCAATTTTACTATTTATCAACTGTGAGATACTGGGTCCCACACTTAAACTTCTCTGAACTTCCTTCTCCTTTATCAAATGAGTTTGCCACCATCTATCTGCATGAAACTAAAGTGAAATTATTTGAGTGAAGTTACAGTCTGAAGATTATAAAGGGCTATAAAAATGTCAGTTATCTGTATTCTGAGTGAATTTTATCTCATTTGAAAGCATGTTTTAAATGTTATACTTGGTGGGAATTGCCTGGTGGTCCAATGATCAAGACTCAGCAGCTTTCACTGCCATGGCCGGGGGTTCGATCCCTGGTCTGGGAACTAAGATCCCACAAACTGTGCATACACAGCAAAGAAAGAAAAGAAAGACTACATTCAGTAATACTGTACTTAATAATATTAATGTGAAAGTTTTCCCACAGAAATTGGTTCCCTTATTTATGAATATAAAATTGTATTCAAGTACAGGAAAAGAAAAATTCAAGACTCTTTTCTATGTCCCCAAAATATTCATAAACAAATAATATTTTAATATATAGTGCTTTCATCATGAGTAATCACAGTGAAACTAGTGATCGGAACTCTGTAAGATCACTCATATGCTCCCCTCACCCCACCAAATAGACACACACATACACAGAGTAAAGAACTTGATAAATTTGGCTGACAGGAACTTGATCTGTGGTCAGTAAGATGATCAGGTATGAGAAGAAATTACTGGGGTCTTAGGCTTCTCTTCTAGTTCTCATCCATGACTTTTACCTGACTCAGAAGAACAACAGTTTGATTAAAACAAAACAACTATTTTTCTCATGACATTAGAAAGAGATGGCAAAACCACTGGCCACATCCCCACCTATTTGAGAAGTGATAGAAAGTTACTCCCTGTTTATCTAATATCTTCACCTGAATTCTCAGAACACTCTGAAAATATCAATTAGGACTCTCAAGTAAGGAAAAGATTAGGCTTATTTCAGACAAGAAAAATAAAAGTAGGTAAGAGGCTGTTAAGAAGAAGAATCAGAAAAGAAACCAGATTCTAGCCTCTTTGGCTCTCTCAATGTTGTAGGCCACACTTGATGAAATGACCCAAACAGTAGCATCCCCAAAAATGCTGATAAGCTTGTGCTTTATAAAGCTCTGAGAGAAAAGAATACTTAACTGGCTTTGGTTGGAGTTAACACCAGTGTTCCAAGCCTGGTTCCACCACCCACTAGTTGTATGACCCTAAATAAGTCACTCAATTCATTTAAACTTCAGTTTCCTTATCTGTAAAACTAGATCAAATGTATCTTACAATGTTGCAAGGATCAAATTAAATTATGTATGCATGACACATGGATACCACAGATCAGTCCTGGGTGTTCATTGGAAGGACTGATGCTGAAGCTGAAACTCCAATACTTTCGCCACCTCATGTGAAGAGTTGACTCATTGGAAAAGACCCTGATGCTGGGAGGGATTGGGGGCAGGAGGAGAAGTGGACGACAGAGGATGAAATGGTTGGATGGCATCACCGACTTCAATGGATAAGGGTTTGGGTGGACTCTGGGAGTTGGTGATGGACAGGGAGGCCTGGTGTGCTGCGATTCATGGGGTCGCAAAGAGTCGGACACGACTGAGTGACTGAACTGAACTGACACATGGATACTCAGATTCTAGTCTGCTTGCGCTCCTTACACTTCACCTTCTTTAAAGCCACAGATTTAAAAGTTACATTAAAATTGCTATAATTTTTTAACTAATTAAAAAAATACTTGACTAATATAAAAATGGCCTAATTCGTTAATAACTTCCAAGTCAGGAATGGTATAGAGTTATCATCAAGATTGTAAGTTAATTCCTGTCTATTTTATTTTTTAAAAAATTCCTGTCTATTTTAATTGATGTGAGCAAAGACAGAGATTGACTCAGAGAAATAAACAAAAAGAGAACTTTCCCAGAAATAAAATGTCAGTGATGCCACATTTCTCAGTTAAAATTCAAGGAAATTCACATCTCAAAAAGGAGATAATATACTATTCCAAAATGAACCAAATAGTGTTCTCTTAAGTAAATATTCCTTTAGTTCAGAAAATAGATCAATACTGTCTGTAAAACTTCAGTATCACATAAATTAACTTCTTAAGACTAGGAAGACTACCAGATCACCAGATAAAAGCAAACTTTTCCAAGGGCCTACAAGGTTTTTTTCGGATACTTATTATTAATAACTGAAAGTGAAAGTGACCTACCATAGACAAACACCTCAACCTTTGACCACAACACTTCAAAGTAATTTAGAAACCTCATCTCAGTGAACTTAAATAACACATACATTCTAAATAAGCTTGGCAGAATAGAAAAATAAATTAACTCATCTTACTCCCCTAAGACACTCTATGACAGCTTCTTTTGAAGGAGACAAATAGCAGCATCATGGAAATCATAAAACAGCCTTGATATATAGGCTATGATTAAAAGCCCTTAGTTCTTTTGAAAGAAAAGAACACACAGCTTTTTACTAGGAGTCCCTAGCCTCTTTTGTCCTCAAAACATGACACCCAAGAATAAAATGATCTGGCCAAGGTCACAGAGCAGGTAATGGCACAGTCTGATGTCCCTCTTTCCTGCACGCAACCATCTGTGGGATGTACTGACAGTAACACACAATCAGATTTTAAAAAGTAAAGGTGGGGGGGTGGGAGGCGCCGGGGGCGGAGTGGGGGGCTTTCCACTGAATTCTCTAGATGGCAAAATCTAGTGGTGTTAAGTCTTTGCATCTACTGCCCATTTTCTCACTGACCTTAAAAAGTCAGCATACACAGTGCAACATCAAGAACTCAAGATCGGAGGAGCTGGGAACCACATTTTCTCTTAAACATATCAATCCCTGGGCATCCTTCTCAGTGCCCCCCATTGCCTCTCTGGACAAAGAAAGGGTCTGTCCACTCCACACCCTGCCCAAGGCAGCAGTGTAAGGACCACAGGGGTGGCCACAGAATAGCTGGGCACAGAAGACACACCACAATGCCCAGGTTGTCCCCAGAACGCTGCCAGTGAGTTGTCCTTTCCCGCTAGAGACATTTCAGTCACCTGCATCCGAACTTTCAGCAGTGGTGGTCTCAGGAAGAGCACACCTTCTCCTGCAACGCTGCAAAGTTTGCCCCTAGTCAAATGGACACACCCCTCCAAAGCACTGCCCCTTCAGAATGATGTTCTTATTGCGTCCTCTGCCAGATATCCCCTCCCTATCCTCATAGAGATACCCCCTTCCTCTGGAGAGGGGCGTTCGCTGGACCAAAAACAGCCTCTGCCTCCTGACTTGATGGACAGCTCCCTTCTTACCCACAGCTCGGCCCCCACCTCAAGTCCTCAGGCAGGGGCTGGGTACTGGGTGCGTTCACCTCACGCGTCTGGGCTTGCTGACGGTTACCGGTTACCAGCCCACCGTAACTGCCGCCTGGCCTCCCTCCCTCTGGTCATCCCTCACCTCTCCCTCTACGCTGGGACACGGACACACACACACACCCACCCACCCGGTGCGTGGAAGACCGCCCCTCGCGGCCGGCCACACGCGGGGTCTAGCCTTCGGCCCCAGGCCCCCTCCGCCGCGGCCACCGCCCCAGGGCCACGCCCCCGCGCTCACCCGCAGTCAGGGGCTGGGCACCAGCGGCAGTCGGGGTCCGAGGCCAGGTAGCGGCGCAGCATGAACTCCTCGTACTTGTGCATGAGCGGCGGGTCGGCGAGCAGCAGGCGGATGTCGTGCGGGTTGAGTCGCTCGCTGCACTCGGGGCAGCTGATGGGGACCCGGCTCTCGCTGATCTCCAGGCGCAGGTAGTGGCGGAGGCAGTCCCGGCACGAGCGGTGCGGACAGCTGAGGAGGCGCGGGGCCCGCTCGGGCGGCAGCCGCACCAGGCACAGCGGGCACTCCACCTCCTCCGGGCCCGAGCCACCGCCCTCCGCCGCCTCCTCATCGTCTAACCCGGGCCCCACTGTCGCCGCGGCCTCCGCCTCGGCCTCGGCGGCCGGCTCAGCGGGCAGCGCCTCGGGCGGCGTCTCGGCCTGCGGCTTGGCTCGGGCGCGGCGGCCGCGGGCCGAGGAGGAGAAGACGCTGTGGAAGGTGAGGCGCCGGCGCCGGCCGCCGCTGCGGCACTTGGGGTCGGGCGCAGCCGCGTGTAGGGATGTAGAGCGCGGCGACTCGGAGTCTTTCTCAGAGCCCATGGTCCCCAGAGGCCGAGGGGCGAGGGGCGCCCAGCGCCACCACAGCTCCCGCCTCAGCGCCCCCTCGGCCGGCGATCCGGCCGCCGCCGCCTCAGCCGCCCTCCCAGAGATAGAAACCGAGCAGTAACGACGAAGTGGTTATAAAGCCTCCGCCCCGCGCGCCGATGGCCACTGCGCAGGCGCTTCGCGAAGATACCTCACAACCCGCGCCGCCCATGCCGGAGGGGGGGCGCTGGGCGGGGCCGAGGGGGGTGGGGCGTTGCTGGGCGTGCTGGGGCGGAGCTCCGCCTCCTCGGAGGGCAGGTGATTCCAGGGCCGCCATCTTGAGAAGACGGTAACTCGACTAGTTTACTTGGCTTCTTCCGTCAATATCATCGCCCCTAGCCGCATCGAACCTGTGGCGTAGTTTTCGGTTTGCCTTTCCTCGAGGTTGGGCCGATTGCTGTTTCCAACAAATGATATTTCAGTTTACTCCATCTGTAAAAAGCCGATGAGGGTAAATCAGATAGTGATTCCCAACTGGTCTACCTTCCAACACATCTTTTGTTGTTTTTTTATTAAGCAGTAATTAATAAAGAATATATTCATTGAGCTTCTATTAAGTGGAGGCATTACTAGGTGAAACAGACAGGGTCTCCCTATCTGCGAGGGATTTACAAAATAAAATCCAAATCCCTCAATCTAGCATTCAGTACTTTCTGTGAGCTACTAAACTATTCCTAGGTCCACCGCCCATTCTAACCTTGTGGTAGTTTGGTTACTTACAAATTGTGGACGGATGCCCAGCATTTTGGGTGAGGGTGGTGGGGGAGGGAATCTGCAAGTGCCTTTCTTCTGCTGGTCCCTCACTGCACTGACTGGGGGAAGATACGGAGTCAGCCTTACAAATGGGAGACAAGCAAGCCGCTTTAACAGCAATGGGAATGTATGAGGTAGGATTAGACTCAGTTGCAAATAACAACAACAAAAAAAGGCTTATGATAGAAATTTATTTCTCTCTTCATGAGAAATAATTCACAAAAGTTCAAGGCTGCTCTGCCATTCTCAGTAACTTGGTTTCTAATCTTAAGGTCAACTCATTATGGTCCACATTCCAGGCAGTGGGGAAGGAAAAGAGCAGAAAGGTACACTCTTTTCCTTTTAAGAAGACTGCCTTGAAAGCCTGGCACATTTCTGCTTACATCTCATTAGCCAAAGCGTAGTCACATGGCCATACTGGGATATGTAGCTTTTTAACTGGGCACAATGTGTCCCTAAAAATAGGTGCTCTGTTATTAATAAAGATTGGTAGAAATTGTACTGAAAGATAACCAGCTGTCTTTCATGGGTGGTATTTAAAACCGTGAGAAAGGTCCCTAGGAATTAACCCTGGGAAACTTCAAACTTTTGAGGTAAACAGTGGAAGAAGAGCCAGCGACAGAAGCTGAGAAGCAGGGACTGTGGCACAGGAGAAAGCTCAAGCTGGCATGATGTCACAGACACCTAGATAAAATGTGTCCAGGGGGAGTGGTCAATTATGACAAATCCCACTGAGAAATCAAAGCCGATAAGAACAGAGAAGTGATCACTGGATTTAGCAATACCAAAGAGGTCCATAAAAGATTTGATGCTAGATGGCTAAAACAATTGGTTTCTGTATACTGGTCAAAGTATGCTGGGCTCTGCTGTGGTAACAACCCGAATATCTCAATGCTTTAACACATTGGTATATTTCTCCCACTCATACAAAGCCTGTCTATGGAGCAAGGCACTCTCCCGGTCACTCAGAGAGGTCCAGGGCACTTTCTTTCTGGGCTCTACCACCTCAACCCAAGGTCTTAAGGGTGGCCTCAATAGGGGAAAGAGAGCTGGAGGGTGTGTGTGTGTCTGTGTGTGTACATGCGTGTTCAGTCATGTCCAATACTTTGCGACCCCATGGACTGTAGCCTACCTGGCTCCTCAGTCCATGAGCTTTTCCAGGCAAGAATACTGGAGTGGGTTGCCATTTCCTACTCCAGGGGATCTTCCCAACCCAGGGATTGAACCTGCATCTCCTGTGTCTCCTGCATTGGCAGGCGGATTCTTTACCACTGCGCCACCTGGGAAGCAGGAGGGTTGTGCACCAGCAATTAAATACTTCAGCCTGGAAATGACATATGTTATTTCCACTCATAGACTATTAGACAGAACTTGTGACACAGGCTCAATAATTGCAAAGGAGGCTGAGAAATGTAGGGGGGAGGCATGGACTATTTATAATAGTAAGTGACATTATCTCAGCCACAGTTCCCTATAATCATCATTGACTCTGTTCTTGGTGACCAATGTCCTGAGCAGCTGCTTGGAGGAGATGTGTGCCTGTTGTAGGGATGAAAGATGGGGGAGAAGGCTGCTTTGTTCCTTGGGTAAGAGTGTGCTGAAGGACCTGGGGACCTCTGATTCCGGACAGACCCAGCTGGCTTTGACATGCTTCCTCCTGTGCAGCTGACAGAAACAACTGTCAGAATTGTTGAATAGCTTGCTGAAAAGCTCAACACACCAAATGCTTGCTTGTCTTGGCTCTGGTTCTCAAACAAACCCTGCTTCACCTCAAAGATGCCACCACCGGTGCTTTGGCAGAAAAGTGACCTCTCATAAATATCACTGGACTTTGCTATGACCCCATTTCTTCTGGGTTTTGTCTCCGGAATCCATCACCCTTGAAGCAAGGGATTAAAGCAATTCCTGTCACTTTTTACTCTGTGTCTCCGCTTGATACAAGCGGAGCAGTGACTCAGGGAGATGACAGGAAAGAGAAGGACTCTCATCTGTTCACTCATTCAGTAAACATTGATTATACTTACTTTGTGGAAGGCTGTTTGCCAAGCACTAGGGTCATGGAGATGAACAGTCTAATGGAGTTGTGGACAAGAAAGCTTGTGTGAACCCTTCCTTAAAACTTTCTACAGTTCCCACAACCAGCTGCATCTCCTTCCATGCATCTTGCTTCTTTGCAAATGCTAATCCCTCTGCTTGTAATCCCATGCATGCTTTCCGGTTCATTTTCATGGTCATCACCCCCCTTTCTACTTTCAGACTCACCTCCTCTCATGTCCCCAGGGCATGATGTAGATAATTCCAGTGTCAATCAAACCTATTACTAGGATGACCACGTGACTTACTGTCCAAACCCTGGACACTTCTGAGAATGAAAAGTGAAAAATGAAAGTGAGAGTGACTCAGTCATGTTCAACTCTGTGACCCCGTGGACTATAATCAATGGAATTCTCCAGGCCAGAATACTGGAGTGGGTAGCCTTTCCCTTCTCTAGGGGATCTTGGATCTTCCCAACACAGGGATCAAACCCAGGTCTCTCGCATTGCAGGTGGATTCTTTACCAGCTGAGCTATGAGGGAAGAAGCCACATTTGAGAATGAAAGGGAATGCTATCATCAATTGCTTCAGCTCAACAAGTGTCAATCAATCTGTTCCAGGCAAGTAAACATTATGGTCACCCACCTACACCTAACATTGTCATAAAACCTGACACTTGATGCTTTCATGTCTCTCAGCCCTTTGAGATGATATTGTTATCCATATATTTTAAAAGTTTCTTTTTTTTAATGTGGACCATTTTTAAGGTCTTTATCAAATTTGTTACAGTATTGCTTCTCTTTTATGTTTTGATTTTTGGCTGTGAGATAGCTCCCGAGACCCTGGGTTGAACCCACACCCCCTGCATTGGATGATGAAGTCTTACCCACTGGACTGACAGGGATGTCCCATTGTTATTCCCATTTTTAAGATGAGGAGATAGAGCCTCAGAGAGAGAAGAGACTTGTGGTCTCACACCCAGAAGGCAGCAAAACTGACCTGGGAAGTTAGAACATCAGATTTCAAATCCTGGGCTCTTCTGACTCTAGAGATCGGTAAGTACCACCACACCTGACTCCCTAGTACCACAGAGTCTTACTGTCTAAGTTAGTCATGTGTGGTTCTCCCCTAGACCCAAGATGTAGGGGGAAGGTAGAAATGCAGTCTTACTTACATTGTGCACCAGTTCCCCCCAGCCCTTGGTGTAGAAAAGGTCTTAGGGCATGTTTGTTGGATAGATGACTTCTTGAGGTTAGAGCTTCATGTTTCATCTTTTAAACAACATTTATTTGTTTGACTGTGCTGGGTTTTAGTTGCAGCACGCGGGATCTTGAGTTGCAGCAGGTGGGATCTAGTTCCCTGGCTAGGGATCAAACCTGGGCCCTCTGCATTGGGAGCTCGGATTCTTAGCAACTGGATCACCGGGGAACTCTCTATGTGTTTCATCTTAAAATCTGAGCCCCTTTTTCAAACCTAGTACCTAGCACAGTGCTTGCTATGCATCTGTTCATTCCATTAACACTTATTAATCACCTACCACGTGCCTGGTACTGTGCTGGTGATGCAACAATGAACAAAATAGACAAGGTCCCAGTTCTCATGGAGCTTACACAGTCCAGTGGGGGAAACCGTACAAAGACAATCACAAGTAAACACAGTTACAAATCAAGATAAATGCTAAGGAAAAATACTGAATTTTAAGAGCTATTTTGGAGGTACATTTAGTAGGTTTTTATCATAGATTGGATGGCTGAAACAGATGAACACAAAAAGAAGGCGCAATTTGGAAAGAGAAAAATGTCGGTTTGGATGTGTGGGGCTGGACGTGTCTGTGGGGTTTCTGTTTTAATCTTTCCACGTCTAGCCAGGTTAACTGATTTGCTCCAAACCGAAAAATTGTGGCAAGGGAAAGAAACCCGCCTCAGCCAGCCCAAAGAGAGCTGGCCTCCAGCTAGCATGGTGGTTCTAAGAGGGGCAGAAGGCATAAGATAAGCAGAGAAAAGATGTGCTCAAGGAAACAATAATCAGACCTCCCAAGCTGCAGTGAAGACCGCGGCAAGCAGCCAAGGAGCGGGCTGCGTTACATCCAACGAAGACAGCAGGATCGCCGCACCACCCTCCTCCGCTACAGGCCAGCGCACCCCCGGGCGCTCTAACAAGGGGAGGGGGCTGCTCCGTGCCTG